ATATTGGAATATTGTGACCTTGTGATGCCAGTTGATCGACTTCCTCATTACCCTGAATTCCTATGTGACTGGGTATCCACATCAGAGTTATTTTCTTACCATTGTTATCAGTTAAGTTATCATGTATCCTGTTTTGCGTTTGAATTATAAGGTTGTGTTGAGGTCTATATTGTTTAAGCGCCGTAACTGTTGATAACGAATCTGAGAATATCATGAAATTTTTACTATTGGATTTAGATATGAATTTTATTGCCATCTGAATGGCAATGATTTCTGCTGTGAAGATTGAAGCATGGTTTGGAAGATGTTGCATGATTTTGTTTATGCATTTTTGTTTGTAGACCACTACTGCTGCTGTAGTTGATATTCCTTTTTTTGAGCCAAGGATCGAGAATCAAGGATTAAAGAGCATTTGCAATATTTCATTCGCAGTACATATTTCTTTATATAGCAATACTAGTTTACAGAATATCATTATTAACAAAATTTTACCTGTTCAATGTTCTCGAGTGTGGCAGTGTTAGTCCACTTTTTCTTAAAAATTGGTATGCACGAGGACCATGAAAATGCAGCTGCATATAAAAGGTCTTGTAACTATCATTATATACTTTGTTAACTCTTTTAAAATAGTATGAGTTTTTTATCTAGAAGCAAAAAAAAACAAAAAAATTAAACAAAATGTCAAATCATTCTGCTATGGTTACATAACATAAAACCTTTGTATGTAGCTAATTCATTTTTTAATTTTTATTACATTCATTCATAAGTTTTCTTATTGTTGCCTGCAGCATTGTGATTCTGGACTTGTAATACTTTGATTGCCTTTGCTCTTGCTTGATGAGATGTGCATCCATTGAGCAAAACGTGTAAATATGTTTTAAATTTGAAAGTAAATAGCTGCATTTAAAATTTTTCATCATATATATATATATAATATATATACCCAATAAATTAAAATAAAGAAACTCTTTGTATTCTGTATTTGTATTTCTTATGACAAAAAGCCATTTTAAGTTTTAACAAAAAAGGCATCCTAATAATAATAATAAACCCATAATATAAAAACAATATAAAAAATATTTGAACATTAATTAACGATAGTTAAAAAAATAAAAAGTCAAAAATTTAAAATAAAAATACAAAAAAGCAAAGCCTCTTTTCGGCAAAAGTTTACATTCCGAACTACAATGTTAAAATTTGTTTACATTTAGGATTGTTTACATCGCTATCTCTAATGGAGAGTTACAAAAGCGCCTCCCACTAATATGCAGAAAGTTGATTGAGATAAAAATAGAAGAATTTTAAAAACGTTTATATCGTATTTAAATATGTTAACATAGTAATATATTGATTAAAATAACAATATATATATATTAAAATTTATAAAAATCAATTTATTGAAATAGTTTTCGTGGCTGTTTTCATGATTGTTTTAATAAGGTTACATTGAAAGGTATGCCGACATCGTTGAGTAATATCATCTGCCTCCGACGCGACATCTCCATCATCGTAACAACACGAAACATATAGAACGAACAATTTTATTATATTTCATTTTATCATTTCTTCTATTTTCAATTAATTTTCAATATTATTTTTTCACGACAACCTAACTTAACCCTGCCCCTAACCCTGACACATATACACACATCAACTTTACACACATATACATTATACACATTATTTTACAGAATTATACGTGCAAATTATAATATACGTACAGATAACGTATAATATACGTACAAATTATAATAAAATAAAATGTATAATAATAATATTATAATAAAAACATATAAAAGGCAAAAGCGCATGCATCTATTTTAATCTCAGTGCACTTTTCGAATTTCAGATGTGTGCAGATTGCTCTGCCCAAGGTATAGAATGATCTTCCAACAAGACTGAAGCAAATTGTTCCAGAAAAAAATTTCAGAAGAGAGTTAAAAAGTTATTTTATATAAAAAGTTATATATATATATATATGCATGTGTATATATATGCATGTGTATATATATGCATGTGTATATATTTATATGTACGTGACAGATATCAATTTTAGTTTTGAAGATTATTAGAATACACTCAATCATATATTTTTTAAGTTTATCATTTATCGTAAGAACAAGATTGTTAAAATATAGTCTGAATGGAGAATAGTGGTATTGTCCGCAAAAAGAATAAATTTGAGAATTTTAAAAGAATACACAAAATCGTTTGTGAATATGTTAAAGAGTAATGATCCTAAAATAGAACCTTGCGGCACACCGCTATTTAGAGGCATAGTGTTTGAAATATTGTTATTTATTTGAACATATTGATGTCGGTCACTTAGATAAGACACAAACCATTCGTGCGCGTAGCCTCTGACATAATACCGTGTGAGCTTGTCAAAAAATATTTTATGGTCAATAGAGTGAAACGCCTTGGAGAGGTCAAGCAAGATGCCTATTGAGAATTTTTTTGATTCTATTTCGTTGGAGATGAAGGCAACCAAATCAGCTATTGCAAATTCTGTAGATAATTTGGAATGAAAACCATATTGACTTGCAGTTAAGATATTATTACATTGAAGATATTGAGAGACATTTTTGAAAACATTTTTTTCAATAATTTTAGACAAGCTATAAATTATGGATATTGGCCTATAGTTGTTAACCTTGTTTTTATCACCGGATTTGAATGGAGGAATCACTTTTGATAGTTTAAGACAGTTAGGAAAAGTAGTGTTAGAGAACGAAAGATTATTCAAATGTACAAGAGGAGTAGTAATATTTATTATGGTCTTTTTTATTATAAAATTAAATATTTGATCATGACCGCTCTATATATATATATATATATATATATATATATATATATATATATATATATATA